GCTGAAACATTTGACAGACAGTGCTAAATACCAGAGGATTCATATCAACCACTTTATTTGAAAAGGTGCTTTGAAGTTGGCTATCTTTCATGTACCTCTTTCATGGCACATTAATAAGGAAAACTGAGATGGGGTAAATTAAGTCCCAAGGTCATATCTAGAGTTACAGCACTGTGGGTACCTGATGAAATACGGATTAATGCTGCATGAGCACTGAATAAATAAAACCACTTCTGCTAACCCCTCAAACAAGTTTTACAAGTAGTTCTGAACTTTATTCGGCAACTAGACTACAGACATCTTAATCCCCCCACACTGCTTTGAAACATAATTATCATAATGTGAACCCAAATGTTAGGTCCCTTTCAAACTGCGAGTGCTATGAAGCAGAAAAGTAATGGGAATTAAGCTAGTGTAACATTAGAAACATAGAGGCATGGAACTTGAAAGTGGCATTTGTTAAAGCTGAGAGAGCATAATGTAGATATTCAACAACATAAAACACACATTTAAATTGAAAAGGATATTTAAAGCATGTGCAGACACCTATAAAATACAAGCGGACCTAAAATCCCGTAGAACAAACATTTCTAAATCAATTTCTTGCCACCAAGGTCCAACTTCAAAAGGTATTACAGTCTTATTCCACCTTAGCAGAACATTTCTAAGTATTCTAAAGCAGATAATTTAAACTTTAAAGAAAACCCAGTGAGAACTTTACAAGACATTACAGACTTTCCTCTATTTGTCATAGTACAGAAGTGTTTGAACTTAAACAGCAGTAAATTATTAATTACATTGCTTATAAACTCTTGAAAGAAAAGATTTTGCTATTAAGTGGCAGAAAACGATTTTGCAAGTTTAAAACCAAGCAGACAGAAATTAAACACCAACCCATTTAAACAACAACAAAAAATACACTTGCCTGGCTGCATTCCATGCTGCATGTTGAAAACAATTAACAATCCCTGACACTTATCAAACTTCCTTTTAAATACAAGCTGAAATACTTTACTCTGAGTGTGCATTAATGCAGCAAGCACATAAGAGTCAGACCAGTAAGAATGCTTGCATTGTGACAACAAAACCATTAAGGCTGAAAGAGAAATTGTGATTTGAATTTGCCAAATACAAAGACTGAGCTGTCTGTTTTGTCCTGCTTTAGCATAGTTCACCTGTCATTCAGATAGCTTTCATTTCCAAGATGCCTCAAACTGACAGCAACCAAAGAAAAACAGATTCCTGAAATATTTTTTCAAGATTTTCATTTAATCCAAAAAGGCCAATGAAATCCTGAAAGTTCATCATCTGCCATGTTAATGCTGAACACAATGTTGTTTCATTTACATTTCTGGTCCTGTTAAAACAAATACACTTGTCAAAACTAGAACATCTGTTTTGGTTATAATACAATGTATCTTTGGCAAGAACTCACAATAGAACTAACATAAATAATCAAAAATATTTATTGAACCTTGTAACAAAAACTGATTTGTAACAAAAAACCCCAAGACTAGATATGACTGTCCCTGGCTCTAGTCCAAATCTAATCTAAGTCAATAAACACAGCTCTAAAAGGGAAACTACATTTAAAAAAAAAAAAGGAAAAGAAAGTCCTGTAGTTATTTAGGTTGGATGTAGCTATCTGAAAGCACATCAGTTACAAAAATAGTGAAAAATATTTGCTTTAAATAAAAAACTGTCAAGCTGCGTCCAGACAGATTTTAAAGCCACATGAAAAATCATGCCATATGCCTCATTACTTACTAGTGTCTTCACTGATTTGTCTTCTCTTTGGGAAACTTCAGTAAAACTATATGCAGTTTGTATTTGCCATTGCTAAGTACTTTTAATTTTAATCACTTGCTTTTCATATATTATCTTTAGCCTTCATTATTTGTGCATGCACCAACTGAAAACACCTTTCTGAAATTACTTCTATAATTGTCTTACTTCCCTGGAAATGCATGATTCCAAGCTCTACATGATGCACTGGACAGAAAATTATGAGCAGATTTTAATTTTTTTTATAATCACTCCTGATCCTATTCTCCACTGCTAATATAAACTGAAATCTGTAGTACCTCCCCATCATTCACCCTTCTGAACAACAGCTTATGGTGAGTGTCCAACCTCATCTGCCAAGCCCCTTTTCATTTGGACTCCTTTAAAGAAGAAAAAAACTTCAACACAGATACAAGTAGTAATTCTCTAAAACTTGCATACAGCAATAAGTTGAGCTGTTTTTCTGGGCAAGGATTTCCACCTTGATGCAGCTCACTGCATCCCTGTGAGAAGCTGAGAGCTTGGGAAATGGTATCATGTTAGATGCAACTGACTCATTCTGTTACAGTTCAAGTACTGGATGGGGTTTTTTGTTCTAGGGGGTTTAGGTTGTTTTGTTCAGGGTTCTTCGTTGCTTTGTTTTCCCCACAGTTCAAAAACTATATTGGTTAGCAAATCCATTCTTTACTTACAACTGCAACCTGCTGAAGCAGGCCTTCTTTAAGAATTAACTGTTCCAACAATGGCTGAAATTATTTAGTATAGATTTTAACTGAAAAACAATTAAAAAACTTTATCCAAAAGCACACACAGGTTTCCACAGAACTGATGAGAGATACGTATTCAGCCTATTTATAAACAAAGTGCTCATATTTTTTTTAAAAAGCCTATAATGAGAAAACAACCTAATCTGGGGAAGATTTTGATCATGGAAGCAGAAAAGCTGTTTGTGATCTGAAAGCACATACTCTAGAGGACTTGACTATTTAAAAAGAAGACAATCAGCAGAGCACATTCTTCCAAGTCACCTTTTACAGTTCCCCTCAAAACGTAGAGCAGTTATCCCAATGTACACCTATTCTCACCTACTGCTCAAACAGGAACACTGTACTAATTGCTCCTCATTTAGCAAGTACCACATTTTTAACTCAGACTGAGAAATTCCAGGCACTTCACTGGATTATTAGAAGTGGGGGTTGGATGGCTGAACTCATCATTCCTTTCTGTTACTAAGAAATACCCAGGAGATTAATGCTTTCTGGAGCTAAACAGGAAAAAGTAGCTGCCTTGGGGGTTTTAGCAGCATGGCTTGGAAACCCCAACACTGGAAAAAGCAATGAGATGGACACGAAACTAATTTATAAGAAAGGGATATATGGAAACCCTGATCCTTATGGGAAAAAAACTCAGTACAGTCTGACAAAAAAGAGAGACAAGCACTGCAAATGCAGCCTGTCTGTAATCTCACACACAAATTCAAACACAGATAGCAGTATACAAAGTTTAAGAGCCCCAGATGTCACCTACAGCATGAAGTACAAAGAAAAAATAATCACTTAGCTTTAATGTGAAGTACTTAATGATCTGCACACAAATTCTGAAGTATGGACTAGCTCTTTGCCCAACACAAGAAAGCCAATAACAGTATAAATATATAAATAGAGAAAAATATTTCTGATTGTGTTAATTTTCAGGATATTATATGTCATATTAAATAACTGCAGTTGTAGATTTCTGCTACAAATATCAGTTTTGGAGAAAGTGAAAGGTTAAGAAATTATCAGTAACTACTAGAGAAAGCAACAAACTTGCTAACCTGACTTCTGCCATAAATCATTTATACTAATTCCTATTGCACAACAGCTTTTATCAGTTCTAAGCACTTGGTAACTTAAGTACTACTTGGAAAATTTTGTCATCTTGAATTATAAACAAGGAGAAAATATTAAATCAGAAGAGGCAAACAGTGAGAAAAACAACAATCACTGTATTATATAAATAATTTTTTCTGTGTAAAGTAGTATATGATCAATAAATAAACAAAACCAGTAATTAAGATGAAATGTTTATTGCTATGATAATGGATTTTTAAGCTATATTAAGTGAACAATATTGAAATTAAGCATTTGCCAAAATCCACACAGTTTGAAGTGTTTTGCACTCTATTAGGTAAAACATTCACTGTTTTGGCATTGGACTCAGTAAAGAGGATGCCTAATTTTACAGAAGCTTGAATAGCCTCATCCCTTTGCAAACAAATAAAATTAGAAAGCTTTTACTACATCTCCTGGAATAAAAGAGTGATTTAAGAATGGAATCTTGCACAAATTTACTTGGGAATCATAGAAATTAAGAACTAGTGCAATCACAAGATAAGTCAGCAGAAATAACATATTTGTTAAACATATCTGTACGGTCACTTCTAATTTATGAAAAAAAGGCACTTTTAAATGTATAGCATAGTTTGAACAGCAAAAGGCCATAACCTTCTTAAAAAATATAAAAAACTTATTTCAGTATATTAAGACACTGAAAACTTAAATATTGATGTTAAATGTCAGCACAAAAGATAATCCAAGGCAAATAAAAAAAATTCCTTAGAAAAAAATAGAGATGGGAATTTAAAAAAAGAGAAGGGTTCTGCATGGTAGAAGAGAAAGTGATATAGCACAGTTTCCCTCCAAACCAACAGAAGAATACTTTAGTTCAAATTCAACAAACTAATGGATAAAATTTGAAGTCTGAAAAGGATAAATATATTCACTACTCTTCACTTGGTATTAACACAGTATTTGTTTCCAGATCATTTAATTCCCATAGGATTACCAAGCATTCCATACTGCAGTCAGACAACAGAAGCTTTATCACGTGCAGTTAAACCTCATGTATCAAAAAATAAATACACAATGCCAAATGGGTCCTTCTTAGTTAGTGTTGCTATTCTCGCATACTTTGTTACAATGCCAACAGCAAGAGAGTGAACCTCAGGAAGAATAAATAAAATGCTTCAGTGAGTCTCTCTTACTGGCTCAGGATAACTACTGTCATGCTTCAAAGAGCTACAGCTAATTTTCTTTGGCTAGAACGTTGGGTCAAGCTTGACTCGAATGCAGACAAGGCAGCAAAAAGAAATACTTCGAAAATTACATCTAAAACTACCTGTTAGGTTAAAACATGCTGAACAAATGAATAATATCCCAGCAAAGGGACCCTACCAGTAAACAACATCCAGCGGTGCAAAATATTTCTTCATAATTAAGTCAGCAAAGTAAGCTTCTGTTTCTCTGCAGGCCGTGCCATTGCCAATCACAACAGTGCTGCAGCTATGTGCGGGTTAAAAAAAAACAATAATTATTCTCAAATATTCTTTTATGCCTGTTCAAGCATAGTATTCAATCCACCACAGTGACCAATACATCTGATTTTAGATGACACAAGGCCCAGATGTAATGAGAAAACATTCCTAGAAGCATCATGTTGTGTTCAACAGGTTTTCAATAAGACAGTTCATGAGATGAATCAAAACTTTTCGCTTATTTGTAATGGGATTGTACAATGGTAATATAAGCAGAAAATCAAAAAATTATACTTTATATGAATAAATGGAAGGTTATTTATAGTCCTCAAACACTTTCACCTCGTATTTCCCTCATCTGGTATGAGTCATGAAAAAGAGCAGAAGCCAAAGCAATCAGCATCTTAATTCCTTAATGGGAATATCATAGTTTCCAACAGCTTGCAAGGTCATTCCCTCTCATTCCCCACAGCACAGCCAGTCAGCCACCAAACCACCTTGTTTAAAGCCAATCTAATGCTTATAGACAAACTGGACTGTATGCTGTGGTAATTCAGCAGCTGACTCAGTAGATCAGATGTCTGCCCACAGACAGTTGGACACAAACTTCTAATCATGCTGCCCCTGCTTATAATTCCATCTGGAGAGCTACCTTTGCAGGATTTCCTTTGCTTGACAAAACTCTACCAAACCTAATGTGGCCTTTGGAATAGGGAAAGACTGATGAGTGATTTGGGGGTTGTGGGGGCTAGGAAGAAGAAGGCTAAACTTATTTCTTAGCTGAATGACAATTTCTATTCCCAAAAATAAATGGATTAATAGTTTTATGGGGATACAATCATAGCACACAGCCTTACTCATAGCCATGGCTTGATTTGATGTGCTTCTAACATATATGTACTGCAAAAGCACAAGCACAAAAGAAAAAGCAAGCTCTGAATTAGACTAAGTAGACTACAGTTACATCAGTAGAATTCTTATTGCACTCAAAATCAAGTATTTCTATAGTGAAGATCTTCATTTTGTTAGGTAAGAAAGAGCAATAAATGGAAGTTTCTTTACATACTTGTACTGTAGCAGAAGCCTCTTTATCTTCTCAGCTTCACGAAATCCTTGACCAGAATGCAAGTAAACTACATCAGTATGGAGTATCTGACCTAGAACAAAAGGCAAAGCCATTTGATTAAATCCACAAAGGTCCAAAGGCTATATCCTGCAGAACTACTGAAGCTAATTTGATGATTCACAAAGAAAGCTTTTCAATCAGTCATCTTTCCTGTTATCTTTACACCCATTTAGAAGAAATATATGGTTGGCATAGGACAAGAATGTTTTGGCAACGGAAAAACAAGTCAATACATTTGTAGCTCCCTGCAGACATATTCACCTAACAGGTACTGAACATCTAAACCTATTGGCAAATATAATGTATTATATCACAGAGAAAAAGAGCAATTTACTATAAAATATTTGTTCTAGTGTAGTACAATTTAGAAATTCAGTAAGAGTGATGGAAACTAGAAAATCTAAGGACTTGCAACACACGAGTTCTAGAATTCCAATGCTAGCTCTTGTCATCATCCCATCTACCACATTTGGAAAGAACTGTATTAACCAGTATCATAGCTAATGGTGCAATGAAAGCTCAATCATTTACCCCACCTTTATTGACTTCTAAAGAAAACGCTTTTCTTTACATTCTCCTGGGGTGGATATTCTCAAGCAAAAAGCAACAACAAAATAAAAAGAAAATAGTTTTCACATAAATAGTTTTCACCTAAAGGTGTCCTGAACAGGATGAAGTGGAAAGGCTCTGTTCTATCTAAGAAGTTTTTCAAAAACAATGTTTCTGACTTCTTACATTAAACAGACACACTACTAAACAAAAAGGGCTGAAAAAGTGTCCAGATGTCCAAGACACTAGACATGAAAAAAGCAATATTATAGAAAGTATTTAAATTCAAATTCTTTGTTAAACAATAAAAATGCCAGGTGTTCTCTTTGCTGACTACTGAGAGGTACAATAATTTCAATCAGTATTGAGGAAGGCAGAAGGCATTTTAAATTCTATTTAAGAGAGCAGTAATAACACCAAAGAAGTCACTGAAATCCAGGTGCCAGAAATTTAACCTTAAGCTAGCTGAAGAAAGGAATTTATATAACAGGATCTGTGGAAAGCACTAAAAGCTTTGCAAAAAATAATTTTATAAAAAGTAGGTTTTGAAACTCTCTTTACTTTAAATTAATATATGTTTATCAGTCCTTCAAAAAATGTTTGGAATTGAAACTTACTGGTTGGTGAAATAATTGCCAACTTGCAGCCATGTTTGTAGCCAGGATCTACTCCCATCAAAGCACGGCCCCTCACGGGGCTGGTCAGAAGCAGCTGACGGAGATTTCTCCCAAACATCATCACAGACTCTTTCTCTGCATCAGATGTCAACTTGGATCTTAGAAGGATAGAAACAAAAGAAAAAAATCCCAAATATTTTTCTTTCAATTAACTTTCAAATACACTTATTAGTTGCTCCAAAGTTGTAAGGCTTTTTCCAATCATGTTTCCATCATCTTTAATTAAATGTTACAATTCAAATCAAGTTGTTGACACCTTTTTCAAAAGGATCCACTATATATCATCTCATTCTTGTTCTACGAACGTCAGTCAATATAAAAAGTACAAGAGAAACACTTGTAAGAACATACACCCACCAACTACCATTCAAACATCAACTCATAATTTTGAGCAAAGAACAGCTTCTTTTAAAAACTGATGCTAAATGTAAAGAAAAGTGGATTTGAAGGAGGCGTGGATCAAATTCATCATAATTTCACAGTTCCAGAGAAAAATCACAATCCAGCAAAAAAAGGATGGTGGTTTACACTGAGAGGCACCAGAAAGAAACTGGAAGGGTCCCTCCAATTAATTGCTAACACACCATGACTCATGAGGCATTTGTCTTTGGATTGCTTCATTTAACAGATATCAAAGAAGTGTGAAGACTTGAGCTTTTTCTAGGAGGGTATTCTGATTCCTCAGAACAAACTGTAAAGCTGCTGGGACCACAATGTTCCCTTTCTTTTCCAAGTTATGTTCTTCAACAGAAAGAAGTGAGGTAGTGCAGTAAGGGTTGACTTAGATTACTTGAAGCACAAACACTTACTGCAGAGTATCACAAGAAACTAATTAGTCTTGTTGAGTTAAGATGTAAAAGATTCAAAATGTCTTACTTGTCAGATGTGGCCAGCAAGACAATGACTGACAAGGACAAGTATTTTCATCATGGTATGGCACTAAAAAAAAAAACGAACAACTGAAAGAGTAATGGGTACAAAAATATTTATCACGTCTGATTTCTTTTTCTTTTGCAGGTACTCATGATCACTTGCCTATGCATTACATTGTCAGTAACTCAAATAATTAGGGAGATAAAAGGCAGTGCCCTTATTCTCCTTTTCTTTTTACCTATTACTGAAAAAAGTCTACTATCTTGGTTTATTTCTACAGAATGGAAAAAACTGCATTATAGTTAACTAACCCTATCAGAATGGAATAGGGAAAATTATTCAAGTTGTTCAGGTCAATCAATGCACAGCACAAGTACACTACAAATAGTTCAAAGAGAACCCTTGTAAAGGCTATTTGACATGATGGAATAGGAAGCTGGTTTTGGTTGTGGAAGAACTCAAAAGCCTGACTTGAATTTGCCCAGAATCCAACCAGTCAGCTAGCTCATCACACAGTGGTACAGAAAGAACTAATAAATCTTCATTGTCTCTCATTTGTAAAGTAGTCCACAGAGAGGTCTAGGTCCTCTTTCACACATTACTGATGGAACATTTCCTAGGGAAATGTGCAACAGCAAAAGGCTCCCTTTTTCCCATGTGTTCTTTGTTTCTGTATCAGGTAGATGAGACTATCACAGACACAATTCAAAGAGAGATGGTGAAGGGCATACATGCATTATAAGGCTCCTTAGCAGTTCAAATGAACCCTCAGCAAAGAGCAGACACTCTATCACCACCAAACGTGTGAATGGCTGCACCAGTTCAGCAAAATTGTCCCTCTATTCCAGTATTCTGTCCCCAAGTCTATCTCCAAGCAGTTGGAGATTATTTAATTCCTCATTCCCCTTCACTGGGCCTTTTCCAGTTCACGTGAATTATTTTCTTACTTCTTACACCCCCTCCCCATGTGAGTGGACCAAAATGGACAACAATATTCCAAATACAGGCCAAATGAATAAATGACTCTTTGTCTTTACTCCTTAATTAAATAATCTCATCTTCTGAGCACTTAACACTCATGTGAAGCTACCTTCCACGGTGCCAAAGCCCCTCTCCTGTGGCAGGATAGCTCAGAGCTAATAATTTTACTTATGAAAAGATAACTACTTCCCCTTGAAAGTATAATTTTACGCTCATTTTCCACTGCATTTCAGTTGCCATTCCATTTTTTGATGATTCAGTATTACAGCATCTTCCTCCAATTTTTCCCTTCTCTAATAAAAAAAAAAAATCTAAATCACAGAACAAGCTGCTTCTAGGGAGAGTCCAGAGACAGAACAATTAGATGCCACTTATGAGAGACCAGAGAAGACAAAAGCAAATACCACAAACTCAGAGAAGTATGGATCTGCTGTATACACACATAACAGAGAATCAACCAGTCACCCATGCATGCAAATTAAGATTAAAAGTGGCTTGTAGACAATGGAACGGAATGCCCTTGGACCAAAGGCTTTGTACAAAGACAGGCCAAGTTCTATCTTTCCACCTATCCCAAGGAAACAGGGTCCCAGCTGCCCACAAGGCCAAGTCCTCCCACACTGCAAATTCCCGTCAGTTCATCTAAGAAGGGAGACTTGTGTAGGAATTAAAACTGCCTCTAAATACATGCTATTAGTTATGTCAGCCTTATGGAAATAATGTTTAAAATTGGTATGGGTATACAGCAACTTTTACAGCAACAGGAAATGTTACTGAAATTGCCAGGTGTGTAGGGGGAATATCCTCTCTATTATGTAATATCCTGTGTTTTTAAATTTCAGATATAGACATCTCTTTTTTCTCTGTCTCTTACTCAACACTTGTATCAATTACATGATCAACTGTCCGAAGCAGTGGCCCTTAATTTCAAGCCTGGTATAATCATTTGATACTTTAGAAAAAAAACCCATCAAGCTACCCAAAACAATATAATACCTTTCTCCTTTTCAGTGTATTACTGGCTTCATCCAAATGGCAAGATATAAGGCTTCATACCTTTCCAATTTACAACACTTCTTGTTAATATGGCAGAGATCAAAGGCAAAGAGTAGTCCTCCTTTCTAAACACAAGCAAAATGGCTATTTTGGAAAAAGAAACCCCAAACAAATAAACCTCAAAAAACTTCAGTTCCTACTTTATGAAAAAATAATCAAGTCAGGACTCCAAAACACTCCCTTGAAGTTTACAACACATTCAGACCGTATATCACTAACAGGTGTATTGTAATAAAAGCAAATAACCTAATAATTATCTATTAATTTCTATATTCAATGTTATAAGATTCTGTATTTAAACTGAGATTTAAAATTCCACACTCCCAATTACAGTCTGAGATGCAATCATTTCTGTGGAAAAATATCTGCAAACTAGCTTCAGGTGTGAAACAAGATATACAGAGAAATGTTTGTGTCCCTGAAGACAGAGGAGAGAAAGCATTCTGCAAGAAAGCATGGAAAATAATGAAAGGATTATCCATTAAAAAATATGTCCATGCCACATCAGTTGCATAAAACCCTGATGGAATCATTCCATGTAGTACTGCGACAAGATAAAATGTATTTGAAAAAGCCAAAATCAGCAGTGGACATTATTATACCAGATACAAGAAATGATATCTGACAGAATGGAAGAAAGGAAATTAAACAATAAATAAGGTAATCATCTTGCTGGCAAGTTTCATTCTTCTTCTGATCACTAGAAGCACCAGCAATTTCAATACATTCTTGGAAACTTTCTGTTCCAACATTTAATGATAATAAAAAGAAAAAAGAACAGCATGAGGTGGGTTGGAAATATTAATGCTAAAAGGAGGTATTGAATACTTTAGCAGCCCTTTGCAAGAGTTGGAAAAAAACAGTCCTGGTGTATCCAGAAAGAAAATAGGAGGAGGATAAGGGTTAAGTTGTCAGGGACCAGAATACTATAAGGTGCTTTGAGTTCCTCTCTGTAGGAGAAGTTTCAAATTTTCCTATCCAAACTCCACCAATCATGTAACATCATCATAAAGAGTAAAACCTAAGCAGACATCCCCTCAGGCACCAGCAGCAATTCTTCTCATTGATTACTTGTGTGCTACATCCAATAAGTAGTAGGGAATGAAGCTTTTTTTTCTCTTTTGATTAATAGAACAGAAAACCTGGAGTAACCTACTGCTCCAGCAGTTCTCAAAGCATGACACACAACACAGACTACAACAATCTCGTGGTACAAACCACTGAATAAAAACACAATAAAAGAGCCTTGAAGCACTCCTATATGTCAGGTTGCTTAGTTCTTTTAAAACCAAAACCCACTAAAAAGTATTTTTTTCTTTATTTTAAAAGAGTTTGATTGTAGAGATGGCTAGGAATGACAACTATTTTCACTCCCATGTGACAGAAGCCAGCAATTGAACTCTCCACCATGAGATGTTCACCATTTTGACCACAATAGACACAGTGCCTCCCCTACAGTAGCTACATGTATTGCGGTCATAAAATAGTAAGTGAACTCCGTATTTTTAGAAATCTGTGAGATTCTAAGTAACAAAAAACCAGGCTCACTAATCAAAAAGGTGAAGCAATCTTGCTTGCAAAGCAATAAGCAAACACAACATACTATAGTGAAGAAGCTCAAAAGCCACCGAAAATACATGCCATTAAAATCTTGAGCTGATGGTTTTTTTCAGAGAGGTAGAACACAGATCATTCTTGCAATGATGTTCATGAAAAGGTGTCAGGAAAACAACTCCAATTCAAACTCAAACGCACAGCCAGGAAAGTACAGAAGAAACATTTTACCATGTGGTTGCTGATTTTAGGTACTAGATAGCATGTCATTTTGATACAAGTAGTTTCAACATTTCTGGTCCAAGAAACAGGGTCTCTGATATATTTCATTTTGAACTACCTCAAAAAAAGCATTAACATTTAGGTCACATATCAGATAGCCTTGCTAGAATGAAGGATGCTATGTTTTGAGGAGCTTCTCTGGTATTGAAGAATCCCACCATAAGTACTGTTAGCTATTAGAAGATAACACTCTAAATTGACATATTCAATTATTTCCTTTAGGTAAACTCTTATACTACACCACAATATGCCCTATTTAATTAATGCTAATTTGATACTAAGTTTTATATTTCCTTTAAATTTGGAACAATATTACAGATCTTAACAAATGACATTATATCCAATAACATCATTACTACAGTATCACCATGAATAAGTTCACTGACTTCTCTAGAGACATCACAATACACACAAAATATTAACTAACACTAATAGACTAACACTATGACTAATTAGTTTGCCACAAAATGAAGCTGGCAAACACCAGGGGTGCTTCCAACCCGAACAATACTTGGCTGAGTTCTATTTCACAGGTAAAAGAGTGAGACAGAACAGTGCCACTGACAGTCCTATTGGCGTGACACGAAGAGAGGTTTGAAAAATTCAGTGACATCATGGTTTATGCTATTACAGGAATAAAGCTACAACTATCATGATAGTTGTATCTATACTTTATTAGATAAATGTATGAGTATCTAGCATATAAACATGTAAAATGTCTTCACAGAAAGATCACTTCTCTACTGTAGCCTAAATTTGATAGGGTCAGAAAGTAAATCTATAGAAACAAGACTACATAGTTAATTTCTTCTGTAAGCACAGAGGATTAGAAACACGCTGATATTTTCAAATAGATAAATATAATAGTCTAACAAAACATTGGGGAGGGAATTGCTAAAAAAAAAAAAAATCAGTAATATGAAACTACAGATCTATTCCAGGCTTACCTGAATTCCCTACAGAGAAGAGGATATATAAGGCGTTTATATGCATCCTCTACAGAACTCCGTAGTAGCCTCATAAATTCTGGTTTTAAAAATTGTTTTGGTCTCCATCTGCAAAAGATTGGAAGAAAAATTAAAAAAATATCTTAAGAACACACACAAATAGCTAGATAAAAAAGGAATTTTCCAGAAAGGCTTCTACATTGTTAAATCCTATAAACTGCAGAATTACTACAATAATTAGGCAACTAAATAATGAGTCAAATATGATTTGTTCTAATACCACACAATGGACAGGCTTATCTTTTCTTGTCTTAGGTATTAGAACACAATTATGGTTTATGTTTTAAAGACAACATAATTAAAAAACATTCACCACTTTGAGAAGTCAAAGCTTATTATAACTGAACAAAAAACTTGGTTCTATATTACCTTTAGGGTTGCATTGTTCGCTATTCCTCAATACTTTAAAATTGACTAAACATCCTCTGTGATTGTCACTGCAGAATTACTGAAAAAAGGCAACTATGCACAGATGGAGATTAAGGAGCTAAACTAATGCCAATAAATGAAACCTAATTCAAATTTCATTTGGAATGCATTGAGTATCCCTATTCAACTTCTAAATGAATTCCTACTAATTTTGCAGCAGTTCTTAAACCACAAAAACCAAAAAACTTACAAACTGTTTTTCTATTTTTCTGCTACTAATATATTTGAAGTGTAAATAATAATATAGGAAAAGGGAAAATTAAATAAACAATACCAAACAAAACCAAGACTGTTTTCCAACTTGTTCTAAGCCAAACTCTTTGAAGCCTTGAACTCTTTTATAGGTAGACTGCACAGTAACTATATAACTATAATGACAAGTACTTCAAATTTTTGCTGTAAATACACCTCACTCTCAAAGCTTCCTAGATATTTCATCTACTGATGCTTTTGTTGAGGGCAAAGTTTTATGAAGGAGCGTGTGGTGAGATGTGGGTTGGTGTTGTGCATATGTGTGAGTCCTTGAACATTTGAGACTGTCCACCCTGTGAGAAGAGATTGAGGTGAAGGAGAAGCAACCAGATATATTCAAACAGAAAGAGATACTATTGACATTTTCTATTAAAGTCCAGCTGTTTTTCAATACTTTTAAAAAACATGGATAACACTCAGTTTTCTTCACTTATTGTATTACTTAACATCCCTGGGTCCCAAACTGTAATGGGAGATACTCATATATATTAAAAAATACCCATGCAAGTTTCCTAAGTTTTTTGCTTGGATGGCTTGGTTTTTTTAAACATGCTGAAATGTTTTGACCATAGAACTATGGTCATAATGTGTCCAGCTGCAGCAAAAACAGAACTGAATTTTACTTTTGATCTTGTTTGCTTGCAGCCACTCATACTGAGAATTCCAAATTGCTCCTACTCAGACAGCTTTTCAGTTGTCTAAGGGGATCTGCAACTTCCTGAAGCAGCTTTTCTAAGTGTCTGTGCATATAATAATTGAGAAATATGTGATTGCATACCTGCATTGAGCAGACAGACATGGGAGCAAAATTAAGCTCCCCACTCATTTTTACAACATTCGGGGGTGTAATTCAGTGCTTAGCCACATGACCTCATCACTTTGCTAACAGTTTTTGCAAATAGCTCTATCATACTTATTTGTAACTAGAGACTCTTTCCATACCTATTTAAAACTAGAAAAAGCTTTAAATCCTCTTATTGCCATCACATTCCATAAACAGTAAGGTTTTACAGGTGCAAGTATGATTACCCCAGAAAACATCCTCAGCACAAATAAGAATGAATTTGGAAACCCGGCAGCTGTTTCCCCCTCTCTTCCATCCATTCAAGCCAGTTAACAAACTTTTCCTCTGTAAATAGGTTATCACAACAGGTATTTTTATTACTTGCCTACAGATAGGTAAAAATTTAGGCAACATTCAGAAGTTGCTACAAATGAGAAAACATTCAAACAGGAAGTTCAATTGTAGCAAACACTGTAGTTTAATAATTTCAATACTTCTTGAGAGAAGAGAAAAATCCATTTGCTGCAAAAAGCAAAGCAAAATCATGTGTGTATATTTTTAAAGATCATCACAGACTAGTTAAGCTTCCCTCTGAGAACTGATTTTTCTTGATTATTTAATCAAGATCTAGCTTTTGAAGCAAAATTCTTAAAAAGCTCCATACAAATAGTATCATCTTACTCTGATCATCAGCTCTCCATGTCCTAGTGCTCCCAACAGGGACCACAACAAACATAAATGGCTTAGACTACTGAGACACCAGAGGGTGGAACTACACATAAACAGAATTAACAGAGCCCACATTAAGAACCTCCAATACTGATTAACAACTGTTCCAGGAAGAACCCAGCTATGCTTTTAGACCTGAAGAACAAACAGCAGAACTTTGTATTCCTCCAAGACATTAAATAAAACATGTACCAAGTTAGTAACCACAAAGTAAGCCTTTAAGGTCTGTACCATGGACTTTACACAATATCTGAGAAATTTGACTGGAAACTGAAAAAACATCAACATCAAATTTAATTTTCAAGGCTGCAATTCCACTTGGGAACAACTCCATGTTGTTTCTACACTCAAAGCCAGCTAAGCAGCCCCTCTCTGGCTCTGTAACTGATCATTTTTTTGTGTTCAATTTCTCAATAAAGTCTTTGGGACCAGTAGAGTTTTAGTGTTAATGGAAGTAGGTTCACTGTCAAATCACAGAGATGCCATTTTCTGGGGAAAAATAGAATCCATAGGGCCTGGCATATGGATATTCCTGAGTTTTCTACACAAGCCAAAACTGCAAGGAAACAGGTGCTTATACAGGCTAATAAACATTCTGAACATGCAAAAAAATGTACAATATTCTTAGACAGCATCTACACAGAGCTCAATACAACAAGGAATTCTTGTCTTCCAAACTCACTTTCTACTGCAGGAGCACTTAATGCTAAAAAAATTGTCTCAGAAGAACACAAAAAGCTCAGAATATTTGCTACTAATCCACTAGGCAGTAGGTGATACTGTTTTCTGACTAAAATACTGGCCAAATTCTGTAGCAAACTGGCATTTCTGATTCTGCAACTGATTCTGCGTGTGACCTCTAGCAAATTAGTTAATACCTTTGCAAAGTCTTGAAACCATTGACTCAAAAAAAAGTTATTAACCTTCTGCTCTAACCAGCAAGTCAATGCAATGAAAATAATGCAAATTCCACCCCTGGACAACCATTTCAAAGTTTGCAGGGCAGATAACACATTGACAACTGTGTTATCAAACTGACAAATAGTAATTCTAAGGCGGAAGATCAGAATCTGTCCTTGATGTTAATGCACAAAGATGTACTAAAACTATTCCTTCAGAAATTTTATAATGGTGGAAAAGTGTCCTTAAATAGTAAAAAGCCATAAGCATATATAGCCTTATGAATGCTAAGTATTAATAAGTATTCACTTCCAACGTCAATATTCTTCTTATCACAGGATGACTCAAAAAAGGGTAACCAACCAAAAATATCTCAATTTATATCCCACTTGTATTTGTGTAGCAGTGACAAGCTGTTCCATTATCTGTGGTGCGCAGTGCTTCCAAATTCTGTCATAGATGCAGAAAAAGCGAAACTGACAGTTATGTTCTGCTTACAGAATATACATCTTAAGGGGAGGACAGAAATTCTGTTATACGTACTAAAAGTAGAAAGAAACAGGTGTGTTTATGACTCCTGATACTTTCCTGGAAACAAAAAACATTACTTAGCATAATATGATCTAAGAGTAACAGTATCTGGCCAAAAAAAAATTTTAATACTTACAGAGCCTTATTCTTCCTTTTCAGAGGGAAACAGCCTTATTAAATTTCTATAGTGAAACAGAACACTTTTTCCACATCCATTTCTTGGACTTGTTGTGAAAAAGATACATGCTAAAGCAGTATCACTGTATTTAGTTTTCTACATTAAAAAGTGCATTTCTTCCTATTTTTCTTCCCTCCTTTTGGTTATTCATTTTTAGGATGCAAAGGAAGGCGTTTCTAACACACCACCAGAACAATGCCCAATATCTTAAACTACTAAGAAAGAGAAAGTAATTTTTTATACATGCAAGGAAGATGCATTGTTTAGCTCCCAAGATTCTCCAACAGAGGACATCAAAGTACAGTTTCCAAGAAAAAAAACTAACAGATATTGCACAAAACCCATATAGTTAGCCTGAACTTTTGCAAAAGACCTTGAAAATTATGCAAGATTAAACATCTCACTACAGGCTTAAAAATCCCAGACAATTTATATGACCAAATCAGTAAGAAATGAAAGAATCTGGTTTTTACAGCAGTTTTCTAACTTAAACAGAAATCAAAACGCAAGAGATGGTTCACACAATATGTGAGAGCTGTGCATTGAAAGCAGTTATATTTATGTTCGTCTGTTAAATCCATTAAGTTCTTTTTAAACATGAAATTCCTTACACTTGTGAAACTTGAAGTTATGTACTTCACAGACCTAAAATCTGATATAGCCCTATTTAATCATTTCAATTGGGCATATGAAGGTATTCTCCAAAGTTTGGAGTATGCTCTATTGGATTTTATCAAGTCCTTTCAGTAAAAGCTACTGGATGCGATGTAGACTACAATTTGGAAATATATTGACATTTCACCAGCCTTTGCATATGTTTAAAAAAAATTCAGAAAAAATTGCTTGAAGAAGGATGCCAGAACTTGCAAATAAAGCCCAAGGCATGATCTTTTCAGCATAATGTTACAGCAGTTGGAAATACAGAGTAAGAATTATCCACTTGCTAATTTCATCTAATCTAATAAATATTTGTTTAATTTGTTCTCTTAATGCAACAAGACATATGAGATACACTTCAGTATGCAGCTGAAATGCAGAAAAAGAGATTTCTGTAAGACTATGTATCCATGCAGACCTTTCATTGACACACCACCAACAGAATTCATTCTTCACCCCGTCAGGAATGTTGACCTTCACTGTCAGGATCTTCAGATTTTCCCCTCGGTTAATGGCCAGAATCTAAGTGCAAACATAAATGGCAGAGACAGATGACACACAAAATATCCAAAAGATAAACTTATCAACATTTGTGTACGCACTTGCTTGACATTCTGCAGCAAATCAGGATGGTGGTACAGTAAATCAGTTCAGAAAGTACTAGCACGTACAGATAACATCCACAATTTAAACACAGATTAAATTATGCCATGGCATAATATTTTTCCTGGAATCTGCAATCTTAGGATCCAGTTTAATCTTAAACACACTTATAATGCAAGACAGCATGAATTTTGGTGGTGGAATAATCTTATTTAATAACTGAAATTAAAACTCACTAAATTAATCAAAGACTGATTCCAAACAGAACTAGACATCAGAAACAGAAAAAGTTGATTCTATGCTTCAGATTCCATTTTTTCTTCCCATTATCAATCCAAATTTTAAATTAATTGAGAATCACAACTTGAAAAACAAAGGTGCTCAGCTTAATTTGAAAGATTAATTTAGTTATTCATGCCTAATTCACAAACAGCAGAAAAGAATGTAAACACTCACTCTTTACAGTAACACTCCAGCCTTAAACCATATGCACGTACTTCTGACAGAGTCTTGTGTACTTAACTCCACAGTCATGACCTAAAGCTAAATTTGGTTGCATAAATGCTACCTGCACAGAGAGTTCAATTTTAAATGGAAGACTATGACTCTACATTTAAAACCAGAATCACATCACAAGTGGTGGATCCTGAAGGATTATGATGGATAACTCCTAGTCTAATCTCACTATGGAGACACTGAATATTCACCTTAACACTAAGAAAACTCGGTGACCAGCAGATTTTAGAAACAGAATAATAATTGGAAGCAAATAAAATGCACACCTTTAGATTTCATTTTTTCTTCCAAAGTATTTTAAAGTAGAATAATACGAAAAAAAAGAAACCCGCTTGAAGCTGACATTCCTGTATGACTACACATGTTGCTGTATGTAGCCGGCCCTGAGCACTGTCACAACAGAGCATTCTGTGTCAATCATGAACTTTAATTCAATCACTAGCTAACTCAGACATGTCACATATGTTAAATACAATGGTTTAAAATGACTCCAGGACATAGTACCAATTTATATTCCTCAGCCTTACTGCTCCTGTGACATACCAGGCCTGACATATCATTGAACAACAAAGCTAATAATAAAGATTGCATGTGAAATATTATAGCATCTGGTACCTTGACTGCCAAAGCAAATGTTTCCACGTAGAAATTAGAAAGACACATTTTAACAAATCAAATGCTTCCATGTTTATTCTGACTTTACTTTTTAAAAAGAGAGAAAGCTAAATGTCAAGTTAAAATGAAATCAAAGTGATGCTCACAACAGAGAATATATGTGATAGAATTTTAATGTCATCATTCAGCATGCTGTCAGCAGGGTCAGTATTTGCATCACATTCTGTTTCCTGGCACTCCATCTGCAGAATGTGTCAGTCACCTGAACTTAAACCAGCTGTAAATGCAGTCACTAATATTATTTATATGTTTTATTCTCAAACAATCTGCCTAACCTGTTCTAAGTGATGCATTCAGTGAAGAATTTTCATCCAATAAATGCTCAGTTAAGAACAGAATTACTCAATTTCTCCCTCTAATATAATAAAGCTCTTTTTGTTTAGTTTGGTTTTTTAAGTAACAGGTTAAAATCTGGCTATTCTAGTCACAAAGCAGTCTTCAATTCTGGAAAAAGACTGTTTTTATATGAGATTGGAACAGATCCAGGGCAAGGGCTGTTAGAAACAACATACATTTTTCAGAGAAAGCAAGAACAACAATATGATCCAGTCACAAGATTCATCAAACCTCATTCTGTTTATCCTAAAAACACAACATGCTTCATTTTGCACAGCTCTCTTATATGCTGCATATTGACTTAAACTCAGAGTAAGTTCTGTGTACTTTGCCAAGGACTTTAATTTTCAATTCCTTTTTAAGTATGAGATTAAAAATATAGCACTTGCCTCAAATGCTACACTTTATTCATTAATTCTTTTCCTCTCACTATTTCAGTCATCTCCAAATACAGGAAAGCAACCCCAAGGCGTACACAAACACTGAACTGTTTACAATTAGTCAAAAACTCAAACTCTTGAAAGATTTTTTTTCCTTAGTTATGACAGTGCTGGTATTGCTTCTCAGCTATGTCCTAAGAGAGTCCAGTCAGGTTCTCTTTGCTGCCAAAGGAAGAAGCTGTGACTGAACCCCCTGCAAGCAAAACGTTCCAGCTGCAAATACCCATGGGGTATCTGACCATGTCAAAATCTGGAGTCAGCTTTTAAAGCTGACTAAAACAAAATTTTTTGCTCATTACAGTTTTAGCATTTTAACTTTTTCAAACAACCTGACTCCACACCAATCCTGATTACTTCAGGACCCAAACAAGACAAAATGACGTGTCTCAGCAGACAAAATGACAGTGGCACAGGAAGTAACCCAAACCTACAGCAGAACCAAGCTGCAGCACAGCTTGCTGCACAGCACTTAAACTCACTGCAACATGTGCTGCAAGGCAGACTCTCAGCTGCCAGGGCTTTGGTCCCAGCGGCACAGCTTGTTCTCCTGCAGGTAACATGCCAGGCTACTGTGCACCGCCTGTACTCACATCTAAGCCAGAGCACAGTTAGGGTTGCACCCAGGTCTTTAAGATCACTTTTACTTCCATACTCAGGTGATGACAAGTTTTAGTGTGGAATTTCATGGAATCTTGCATTTGCAACTCTGAAAACAGGTGATTTAAAGCTGACTTTTGTCTCTACCTAAAGGCATTCAGAACACTTGTCTGTATGCAGTCATCATAGCAGTAGAGAAGGTCTTCAAAGCACTAAGTTTTACAATTGTTCTTCAAACACACCTATTTAATCTAAAGTTCTTGGGGATTAGTAAATTATACAAATCACTCTGAGGTTCAGGCTTTCCTATATCTTTTTCAGGTATAAGCTTATTTTAATAATCTTGAGCCAAAATAGAGAATTCTTCTCTTGATGGCATCTTGAACTCTCTTCTTAAAAAATATATTTTACCAGTTCTTAAATGCCCAAATGAACTACCTCTTCACAGTCTTAGATGAAGAAAAAATAGACTTTTAGGTATTGAAAAGGATGGTCATAACCCAAGAAAAAGAAGACATTAAAAATGGCAATTTGCATCAGTAGGGGAATAAGGTCAAGTAACAAAGAAAATGATGATGAGAAAGACTTTCAAAAGTACAATACCAGGGTTTAAGCTTAATGAAGAAATGGCACATAAAGGAAAAAAAAAAAAAAAAATCTTTCTCCTTATTTCAGTATCAAAATACAAAAGGGAGAAAGAAACTGAAAAAAGAAGAAAGAACCCAAGAACCAAAAACAGAAATGAAAAGTTACAGTATATTTACAATACAGCAAATTTCACATGTCAGAAACTATCATAAAATGCATTTTTTGCTCAGCTAGTACAGAGGGCCCTGTCACACCTTGATCCCTCACTGAAGCAGCACAAGTAGCTCAGACTTCTACAATTCACACTACAGAAATATCCAATGTATTAGAATGGTTGATAGGAGAAATATACAGATAAAAAGCAGCACATAAGTGTGCAAAACCATCCCATGATTACAGGACTTCCAGCTGCAAAATCAGTGCTTATTATTTCTCTGAAGAGCCAGAATGGGTAAAGAAAGAGGTATTCACTTTAGCAGCAGGGAAGAATCAACCAAAGCAGATCAAGCTAATCGTAACATCAAACAGACAAATTAAGGACACATCGTAGATAAAACAGTGCAACCACATAAAGTGCTCACTGGGTTTGGGAAATACAGTTTTTAGCCCTCACTGTAGCTAAGTTTTCCTTAAGTAAAAAAAAAAAAAAAAAAAAAAAAGATCCTTGGACAAGAACTAAATCATACCATCATCGCAGGAAAACACTTACAACATGTATTTACATTGCTCTATCAACTTTTGTTTTGTTGACCCTCTAGAAGCAACCTTTCACCAAAAACTATCAATATAAGTACAGTAAATGTTACTACTTATTACAAAGAGAAAAACTACAGGTACCTCTTCAAGAGCAGCCTATTGAAATCAACAGTAGCTATTTAGTCTTTCACCGAACACCTTTCAGATTGGAAAGGGGAAAAACAGCTTAAAAATTAATCTCTCCATGTTGTGAATTTCTGTAATAAATTAATCCTTTATTAATTCAAAATGCACTGGTTTCAAATGGAAAGCAGAATAAAAATGAGAGCATATCAGAGCCTTCTAAAGGAAAAGGACATTTCTGGTTAGAAGCATCTAAGTGGTCTGTCTTCTATGATATTATGGTTCATTTTTTGTTTGGGATTCTCACTTGTTTTTTTAATTAGTTTTTGCTAGGTTTGTTTTTGTTTTTTTAAACTAGGTGATTGTAAATAAAACAAGAGACCAGTCACTTGGTGATTAGTTGTGAATTAGTGCAGAGATCTTGACAGTTGCATTGAGTGCATCACATTCCTTTTGAACTTCAGTAACAGAGGTAGCCTAGCTGACAAGCCATCAGCTAGTAGGTTTGCTTCAGCCCTCTTTTCTTTATCCAGTTATATAAGTCTAAGCTTGGGGTTTAGGATAACCAAAGATGCTCCACAAAAGAAAAAAATTATGCTTTGCAAAACAAATCCATTTTTGGGGTACTAAATAGCAGTCCTTTGCTCCGTTTCTTAAAACAGAGATCAAGAGCTTATTTCTGCATTTCAAGAATTTGAAAGCCTCTAATACCTGTGATAACTGTAAAGAAACAATCTTTAGAATTAGTTTTAAGCAACACAACTCAAAAACAAAGTAACATTTACTACAGTTAAAATTCTAAGAAAAAAACATTAAAATAACAAATTTTACCTGATGATGCTGAATATTCTTTATATTACAAGAAAACTCATGGTACAGTTGGAATTTATCTATGTCTTTTTCATTTCCATTTTTGGACGACACTTTTGCCAAAGTTGACTGGATGGAAATGTACCTTTGATGGCACCTGAACAGGAGAAAATCAGATATTTATAAGGTATTTTAGCATGAAGCTTGTAACAAGTCATTACTGCATAGATCAAATAAAAATTAAGCTTGGAGTCTGCTCAATTACAAGTGATGTTAACTGTAATTACCTGCAGAATTGGATCATCTAACTTCATGCTGAGGTGACATAATGTGTACTGACCAAAATATACCAAGAGAAGACATTCAAGCAGAAAAAGCTGCTCCCAGCCCTCCTCCTCAAGGGAATGCAAACTCAAAAGCCACCATCTGCACCTCAGATATGGGTTAAAATCCACATAACAAATTTTGGGAAGTTGCAAAAAAAAAATGGCAGTCAATCCTGAACACACCTCGTGATTATCATACATACAACACACTTCAGATGAATAGGATTCCTCTGTAAAGCACTGAGTATTCAACTATGGAACTTCCAGTGGTCAAAATAACAAAAGTGACAGTCAGGTAGTGACAACGCATCCCTTACTAAACAACCTCATTCACTGAAATTATTGCTGATTCAAAGCAACTCTGCATGTTCCTAAGGTGGCGCATGTCCTCTGATAACTCTCTTCTCTGCCCCAGATGGCACAAAGACCAAATAAAATAACAAGTGACTATTGCCCTGTCACATCAATTCCCCAGACATGACAACACTGAAGTCAGGTAATGTAAGAAAACTTAAATTCAGCTAACAAAATTAAAGGATCAGTAAATCCTGCTTTAAAAACAGTCGTATTTGTTTGCGTTATTGGCTACCAATGCCAAAATCAACCATCACTGCACACTTGTTTGTTACACTGACTGGTGTCAAGTCAGCTACTGGAGCAACAGCTTAAGCAGATTCACTTCTGAAAAGTTATAGCCTGAAGAAAGCACAAAGAAGGAAAACTCTCTCATGGGTCACTAACTGCAAGAGTGATCTGCCACACACAGGGCAGAGTTTGTCATTCTTTCAGAGTTACAGCAGCATGCCATCTCACAGCAGATCTCTACTGCACTGACAGCCAGAAGGGCTAATGAACATACACTGGAATGGCCCTAAATCCATCTTACAGGAACACAGTTTTCACATCATTAAGAAAAAGTCCTGTATCTGCCACTAGGAGACTGCATTTTACCATGTAAGCAAGAAAATTTAGAAAGGAAGAACAAAACTTACAATTTCCTGATAAAATCCAGTGTATCTTTATCTTTAGCAAAGATGTCTGCTAAAATATGCTGCACTCCAGCCTCAACTTCCTGGATATTTGCAAGCCCTTAGAAGAAAAATAATTACAGAATATGCAGTCACTATAATATACAGTTAATAATTACAGAAAAAACTAATAAAATTACTTTACACAACTGCTCAAGTACTAAGAAAATATATGGAAGCTGAAAGGAAACTGATTAAAGTTATCTGACTGGCTTGCAAAGATTTCAAAGAATCCCAATTCATTAAAATTTTTATAAACTAAAGCTTCCTTTCCAAAACATCTGAAACTATATTTTTAATGAGCCTGAAGCGACCAGTGCATTATTGTAAGTCAAAATTATATTATATTTAGAGAAAAATATTTATTTTTACATGCTAACAGATCTTGACATTTAAATAGTGCAATAGTAAAACTGGATATTTAAACATAACTTGAAAAAGTAAAATTTTTGAATTTTTAATAAAATAAGCAACTGCAGCAGAAGTCTATATATTTTGCTACTGGTATGAAAACTGCCTAAAAGTCTTTGTAGGTAATCTTGTATTTTCTCTGTGGAACAGTTTTATATTTCCACTGTATTGTAGCAGGAGTGTGCACAACAACACTTTGAGGTCAGGGTACCATCAACCTCTCCTATGAAACACTGAAGTTATAAAATGTCTTCGAAGACATGGAGTTATAAATGTCTTCATATCTCTGGAGAGATAACAGAATCATTACGTTTATTTCCAACACACAAAACCCATTCAAATGGCCAAAGGAGGAAGCACATAATTCTCCTAGCAAAGGAATTGAATTAGACCAGAAGCAGAGATAATGAAATAAAACAGACATCTGGTATTTTAATTTGATATATCTAGCTCTGCTTCTAGCAGGAGTCAGTAATGAATGCCTCAGAACAAACAGCAAGAATCCTAGAGCTGGCAGATGCAGCATTAACTGTCTCTTGAAACACATGTTGCTGTTCACTCTGCTGCCTAATGGACAGCTTTATTTACACCATTTTAACAGCTTGCACAACTTTACCTATTCATTGAACCCAGAACCCTGCTTCTGATTAGGCTATAAAGTTACACACTATAAAAAAATTTATCTTTCCCTTTTTAAGATGAGGAAGCTAAACTTAACTGCCAGAAAGAAAAAAAAAGTGAGAATAAGAATACATTATTAAATGCCTAAACCTATTAGAAGTTGTAAATTTTGGATCCTTACATCTATGAGTTACTATTTGTTATGGTAGAAGTGATGTCAGAACACAAAGCTAAGGGAATTTGAAGACATGCATCATACTGAACACAGACTGAGACACTCGGGTAGATTATTTGAATGAGATAGCACAGGCCCCAAACAAGTCAGAATTTGGGAAACAATGGAAAAGTTCCCATTCAACAAGCACCACTCACACAGACACTTTACTATGTCCACCAGCACATGCTTGTATAATTAGAGAAATTTTTGATTATGCATACAACTATAAAGAAGAACAAAGTTTTCTGGTTAGCCTGCTTCTTTAACTTTCCAATGTCGTGCCTTGAAACATGAACTGCTGGTTTTATTTCAGTTTATTTTTAGGATAAGTTGAAAAATGCTGAGAATTTAAAAGAACCAAAATATTAAGATTTGATGAAAATTTTCTGTACTGCAAATGGCTCACTGCTCAAAAAAAAAAAAAATCACTCTGATCTCAAGTTGTATATAAGCTGTCAAACTGGCTCCCAAAGTGATAAAAGTGACCCAGTTCACAGATGTATATAACTTCTGATGTCTTTCAAAGGTAGACCATTATATAAACCTAATCATTATTTTTAGCACAGAACTGAAAATAGGTGTATCGCTTTCCAAAAACTAATGTTTATGGTGCAACAAACAGTACTTGCTTTTGAATATATTCTAAATAATTTATCTGAAATTTCACAGAGATTTTTTTTTTTTGGCTCTTTAGACTGCACCAGAATGCAATACATTGCTGCAATAAACTGCTGTATGAAGTAGTAATGTATGCTGAAATGTAGTAATTTAAAAACCAGAATATTTGGTAACTGATTTTCATTGCAAAATTAGCAGAATTTTATAAGTAATACTTAAATAAACTGAAGTGGGAAAAGTAAGAGCCAGCCTTACTAAGAAGGTTCAGTACCTTTATGCTGAAATTCAAAAAATACGTGTTGGGGAAGAATAGAAGTACATCTCTATTTTAACATGATACAGAAGACTGCAGCAATCTTCACATTTTTTTTGTCAGAGATTGCCCCCTACAGATCCACCCATAACTGCATTCACAAAGACACACAATTCTGTAATCTATATGTGACAATCATGCTGTTAAAAGTTCCTGCTCAAATTACAGAAATTACATCTTTTCCAATCCCTGCTGTTATTCAGACACAAATTCTCCTTCTCACTCTCAATCCCCTAGGCCAGTTTTTATTAAGCTGTGCTTTGCTGGGTGACATTTCCTTCTGTACAGACTATGAGCATAAACCTGTTGTACAATCAGCACTGAATCTTCAGGAATTCAAGTAGAACAATGGAAAGGTCTCAGGTGTGTGGTGTGATTCCCCCTTACCAGTAAATACAGATGTCAACTATAAGGTCTCCAGATTTATGTCATTTCTTTTCCATAATTATTACTATTTCCAATACAAAGAGAGGAAAGGTTGAAGAGTCATAAATGTGTTAACATGTTATCACATGTTGCTGAAAGCACTGTAGAATTTCAAGTAGTTGCCTAACTTCCAGCAACATCAGAACAATTAAAGTAATTTCCCTCTTAAAATATTTTCAGACATTTAGAACATTACTCCTCAAAGTAGTACAGCACTTACCTTTGGTATTGGGTCTGATGTAAGAAAAGAGATTGAGTTCCACAGGATTCTGCAGGAGGGAGAGAGCAGCAGGCTCTAATCCCAACTGCTTGGCCCTCTGGGCTTTGGTGCCTTTACTCCCAGTTTTATAAGGTGCAGACTTATAACAAAAAGAACAAATGAAGCAAAACCAATTATTAAAAAGCAGCGAAGTATTTCAACTATGCTATGCACTATTTAGTAATGCAAGATTACATTTAAACTAAAGCTGATCTGAGAAAGACTAGAGTACTGACCACATGGTCTAATTCTTCCAAAGTTCTACAATTTAGCAATCCTTTTAAAAGGCAACTGGATAACTTCCCTTCTTTCTTCAACTTCTGTATCATTGTATGTGTCTTCTTTGCAACAGTACTGAAATGCAAGAAATTAATGTTAGCAGTCACATTTCACAGTAAATTAAAATGTCTATTGATTGTGACCTTGTCTATTACACGGCTGAAACTCTCTGAAACCCCTGAGAATTGTATCTCATATTAACGTTCAATAAACCAAGCTGATAATTTAAAAGTTTCTAACCATTTTTCTCTCTCTTCAGGTAGTTCAAAACTGTATCAAAATATCCTGTGGTAGTTCTAAGAAAAATCATCAAGTAACACTCATAGTAATTACTGCTCCATGCACTTCTGTAATACTACTGGCCTGGAAGCCAAATAAAAAGGCCTTAGAATCAATTCACACTCATGAGCCCTTACAGATAGAACTCATATCAAAATAGCTCTGCAGCATCCAGTACAGGCTACCAGATTTAAACTCCTAGGTCTTCAGTAAGATACATGGGAGCGACTGCAAGCAGCAGAGGTACTTTGTCATTATTTAATTACTTGTTAAGACAAGAACTCTCTCAGGCCACCTTCCCTCCTTGGAAAGGATCTCTTGGTAGGGGTTAGCAGGGAGTACAAGGAGGACAACACCAAGCCGACAGAACAGCTGACCTGTCTATTCCCTTGCTGTCTCAAGAACACAGGGTCAGTCAAAAAAGTAAGATGGAATGAAAGCAGTTTCATCCACTGCCACAAGCTTTGCTGATCATTTCTTTCCTGCAGTGATCTGGGATAGTCTAACCACATCTCCTGGTAACTCCAATCTAAGAAGGGCTCTTCACTAGAAGCTTCCCTGATCCAAGCAGGGAGCCAAGGGGTTCTTAGTGATTCTTTTGCTAAGAGTGGAGCTTCCATTTCATCATGTTACGTATTTCCAGCAACTATTAACTACTCTTTTAGTACAAGTTTTTCTGTGCAGTTTTAATAAACTGCAAAGAAATTAAGATGCTAGTTTTTCTTTGGCAATTAATAATTCTAGATTTGTTACTTAGATTAAAAAAAAAACAAGAAAAACCCAACCTCCCAAAAAACCTAACAAAACTCCAGATAGGCATCAAGCATAATTACCTCAGTTGTAAACTATTTTCTTTATTAGTTCCTTTACAGCTGTAGTGTGTACAAGGAGGTAAAACAAGGGCCACAGCAGCAGCAGCCAGTTGTTGCTCACCTCCCACCCAGACCCCTTCTTGTGCTCTTGACTCGCTTACCGTAGCTCTTCCAACGCGTGCTGCACTTCTCGCAAGGTGTCGGCCTCCAGGTTATTGATGAGCTCCTTTCGGTACCGAGCGATAAAAGGAATCGTGTTCTCCTCTTGAAAGAGCCAAATTAAGTTTGCACATACCCATGGCTCAACGTTTGTTACTTCTGACAAGGCCTGCCATAGGAGAGAAAAAAAACCCCAACCACATTAAAGAGAGATGGTAGATTGCTTTAAACAGCCTCTCATTCACCATGCAAAACCACTCCCAGAACATTGCACTGGCCAGCAGAGACTACTGTCCTCCCCAAGACAGGATGTCAGACTTCTCATGCATCCAGCCACCACACCCAGTATTTGAGCAAGACATGCAGCAACCAATGTTTCCAGAAACTTGTAGCCACAGTAAAAAATGTAGGAAGCAGACCTCTTGGGAAAAAGAAAAAAAAAAGATAATGAAAAACATCAAACCAAAATTATAAAACAAAGCAGGGACACCCTAAACTGTACACAGTAACTCAGAAAACTTGGAATTTTTTTTTTTAAAGCCAACACTGACATACCTCATGGTTCAGCTAAACAAACAAAACCCACAAAGCCAGAGCTGATCCAAATCCCACTCAACTAGTAACAGGAAACTAGCAATACTAAAGACAGTTTCAAGACAAACCAAGCCTTGCAAAGCTAAACATGATTTTGTACAAATTGAGCTTCCTAAAGTTACAGGGTATCAATATGGAATTACTGACACAAGCAGCTTATCCTAGCAACATTTTAACCATCACGATTCATTTGCACTTCACTACAGTAGTTGCTGTAGAGGGCTGATACAAAAGCCTTTCAAAAGTTTCATTCTGAAACCTAAAAATGTAACACCTGCACAATCATATTCACTCCTTTTAGAGCACAAAAGGATCAAATTCTCCACATGTATTTCCAGAAAAATGTGAGAAAACCCACAAAATTTTACAGCTTTCTTAAGTAGACTGTACTAAGGATGATGGCTACAATATGTCCTATCTATCCCCATTCTAGTCATATTAAAATCTTCCGTGATCACACCCAGGCTTCCAGTACAAGAGCTACGCTAAAACTGCCTCCACCTGAATGGCTTCAAACTTAAAATCCTACAAAAACAAAAATGATATCTCCCTTGTTATCACTGTTGTGTGAGGAAGGCAAATCTCCTTCCTGATGAAACCATAAATTGATAAACACTCTCAAATGGGTCTCCACAACTAAATGATCCACACTGACTAAATATTAAGTTGTAAAACTGCATGCAAACATTCCAAATCTGTCAGCATCCCTTCCTGTGGGAGTTTCAGTTGCGTACATCCACCAATAATCCCATGTGCTCATACTGGAGAGCCACGCAAAACTGTTACAGGCAAGCTTTGTACGAAGGACATCCAAAGTCACAGATATTAGAATGATGTAAAAGTTTGAAGTTTTAACAGTTACCAACCAACACCTATATTTATACACATTTTATGACAACCTAAGCAGAGATAAAATGACTACTTCACTTCAGAGGACTGAAATTGTATGTTAAGATCCTACTCAGAAAAGGAAAATATCTCATACCTGTACAATATCCCAGTTCATTTCAAATTCTTCTTTTATTTTGCCTCCCATATTTTTAACTGGCTTTCCCTCAGGACATGCATTCAGCTTAATCTTTTTAGAGGGTGGTTCATCAAATGCAAAATCCTCTTCACATTTCTCTTGTTTCACTACAGGAACACTTGTTGACGGTTTTTCATCACTCACTGAACTGTTTTGGTTTATCCCTTGGAATGAATTTATTTCCTTTTTCTTAGGCACTTCTGGCGTTCGATTTAAACTTTTTGGTTTAGTGCCTGCATTTTCTTCCTTAGATTTTAGAAGCTTCATTTTATTATCTTCTACGGGTGCAATAGGCAAGGATACATCCTGCCAAAAAGACATTAAAATCATATTAGGTACTGACTGTTACAAAGTGGTTCAATATTTCATTTAAACTCTAAAAAGACTTGCTACCAGACATCATTTTGCCAAGTAATGTCTCTGGCACCAAAACACCAAGCCAGAAATCAAGTAACCTGAAATGTATCTTGCATGGAGGAAACAACACAAATACACACAGCAGACCTCTCGTTTAGATCAAATAATATGACCTTCCTTCAGAAGACACTGACCTACAATCTTTGCCTCCATTCATGTCAACAGGAAACAGCAGGGCAGGGAAGCATTTCTGAGGTGTTAGGTTCCCAGCATGGGAACTGGAACTGAGATCTGGTCTGCCAAGATACAGTTTAACCTTCTTCACTTTCTGCAGAGATCATCCTCAGAAGTCAGAAGGACTGGCTTCTGTCATGATGTGATCTCAGAAGTTAATAGTTGACAGCAGTATCTAATTTTCAATATAACTCTGTTCTACATTAATAATAATAAAACTGCAATCCTTACTGGGTTGAACAGCCATGCAAGGAAATGTAAGCACAGGCTGCCTTTTTTTTTATGGTACCCAAACACTGAAAAGGTAGAAGACAACAAAGGTGCAATACCAAAACCTGACATATTACAGAAAGAACAGAGGCATTTATTTATTTTAATTCTTGAAAGATATCCAGGGAAAACCACATCCTATTATCATTGACCAAAATTTTAAAGGAGGACCCTTATATTATGGACACTTTAATTCTAAACAATGCCACGCTTATCCAACATACTGAACATTCACAGGACCAGTGGAATTTTATCATCTGATGAGACCCAGGCAACCAACTGAACCAGAGTCTGAAAAACTGTTCATGTTACTTCCCAAAAGCAGTAATTAAATGTCTCTTGCTTATAGATACTCACCATTTCCTCTTTTATTGCTACCTTCTTGACCATTTTCCTGGCCACAGTTGACTGTGGAGCAGCAGCTTTTTTAGTTTTTGCCTCAGTTTTCTTTGGCAAATTAGCTCTCCTGGCAACTTTACTTTTTGGCACCCATTCCTCCTCTTCCTCCTCTGATTCAGAGGTCCTGAAAAACAAATGAATCAACAATATTGCTGAAGAGAATAATAAAAAAATACACAAGTGAGCTAGTCTTGAGTTGTTTTTTTGCATGAAAGAAAGTGAACAGGAAAAATTAACAGAAAGGTAGAGAGAGTCAACAAACACAGATCTTTCACACTGTTGCAGAGCTAATGGCTTAAACAATCTACCAACTTTTATGATGTATACACATGTCGTACACGTGACTCTGGACAACTGGTAACTCATTTTCACCCTATCTTCATTATGAGCATGAAGAAGCCTAAGTAATTTGCATTTTATAACTGAAGTTTTGTGCATGAAAATTTTTAAATCAATTTCTCAGAAACTGAATGTTGTTCTTACACAATTGCTAATGCTTAGCATAATCCTTTAAAAAAAATCCCAAGGAAAAAAATGGTCTTACGAATTAAGAAATGAAGGTAGTTCTTCTGATGTAGGGGCTTTGGCTACACATTTCACCCTCCTTGGCAGAGATGACATCTGAAACAAAGGAAAGAAGAGAGAAACGTAAAATTTGGTTGAAGCTGTATTCTCTTCAGCTCACTGTCAAATGTGCCCTAATAATGTCTTCAGCAATCACAAAAGTTTCCTCTAGAGCAAGTTTGGTTTTCTCAGTATCCAAGAATTTAGGCCACAGCAGCACACATTCAACACTCTTTTCAACTAAGCAAACAAACCAGCACCATAACATCTCAAACTATTTTTCCCTTCACATGGAGGTAACTATTTAGCTTTCATGTAAAGCTGTTCTAGCAAAAAGGGTACTGGTTCTCTCATTTTATTGTGTGCCACATATAGTATGCCAGTCTTCCCTCCATCCATTTAAAAATCATAGCAAATAAAATTAAAATCTAATAAAGTGAGATAATGTGTGGATTTGATCAGACAGGACAAGGCAATTATCCATTTCCAGCTAGACTTTTACATTCATGGACTATCTGTTGCTTGCATGCAATGAGAGCTATTATTTTGAATGGTGCTCCTCTGAATATAGAAAGTGCATAAAACAACTACCAAAAGTTAAAAGGGGAGGCACGTGCTTTCTCCTGACCCAAGATGTATACCTACAAGAGCTGTATTTCAGTTGAACAGTTACAAAATTTTTGTCACTAAGCCCATGAAATTCAATAATCATATTTAGCAGTCTTAGTTAAAAAATGTTAGGTAGCCTCAAAATTTTATCTGCCAGAAAATCAAACTGTAAAAAATTTAAAAAGTAAAAAAACCTTGTAATTTATTTCAATTACTACAAAATTCAGAAGCATATTTTACCTATATCTGGTACAATTTCATCGTTCTTCATATTTTTATACCTTGACCTTTGATCCAGCCTTACTACTGCAATGGGAACCTTAAAGTCCCATGTTTGCACAATACCTATCAGATAAGCATTTTCTAAAGTGCCATTTAACTCAAGGGCAAAACGCCCTTTAATCCAACTTCATTCTGACCTCTGTTCAAGCACTAGAACACACTTGTTATTAATGGCTTTCAGCAAGTTTTTCTTGTAAAGCAGCACAAAAATTTCTGTGACAATTTTCAGCACTGCATTCAAAGAAGCAGTATTGAGGGTCACACCAAAAAGCACCATTGGCTCACTTGTAAAGCCCCTTCTTGGAGCTACAATCTTGGTCAGTAACAGGTCAGCATTTCTGTGCTGTTCCATAATGTGACTGGTTGGAACACACATTTACCACAGAAAAGCACAAATCTCCAAAGAACACAAAAAATATTGCTCACCTTTTCAGCTTCCCAGGTGCCTTTTCACTGTCAGTTCTGAGACACCCCCAAACTCATCCAGACACTCTGCTTCTGTATTCCTTTGCTCCTAATACCTAAACAGTCATAATCACAGTTCTGAATTAATTACTTATTTATTCACATTACTTCAGAGGCATGAAAAGAATGTTCCAATTTTTATATTATACTTCAATGTGTGAATGGAAGATACAAAAAATACCAAACACCAAGATTCCCAAAGTTAGGTAACATCAAAGGCAGATGGATCCCTGATCCACTCTTTTGAAGGTGCAGGGAACACTTCATGCTTCTTTCAGCTAATACAATTAGCTGGGTATTCTAGGAAAGTGATCAGCTTTTAAACACTCTAACCAGCTTCTTCATGAGTAGCCATTAAATCACTGCAAGTAAGAAGGAAAAGACCTATACACATGGTCTCTCACTTGAGGTCAGCATTGTTCATACTGATTAACACCACCCTAAACATCTCTGTCAGTTTGGAACACTCAGCATAGACCGTGAAAATTCTGGAGCCTACCCAGAAGCCCAGGTAGAAGGAAAACCTCCTCTGGAAGGTCCTTTTTTCTGCTAGTATTTCCCCCCTCACTTTAAGTGGCTGAGAGTCTCAAAACATCTCAACATTTGTGTCATTACATTAAGTAAGATTATGGCAAGAGTAATGCTCACTTTTTAAAGTTAATTGCACTGCCTTACATCCACTACTGGTGACCTATCTAACTCTCCATATCTGCAGAAGGAGATGAGCTCCTTAGTAATTCTCCATGAACAGCCAAGCTGTGGTCAGAAGCCAAAATGGAGTTCTACAGCTGAAAATAAAAGCCAATACCAAAAAAGCATATCTAAGATATATATCAAGCATGGGATATCACAAAGGAAAAAAAAAAAACACCAAAAAAAATCATATTTCCACTGCAACGTGAGGCTAAATTATAACCACCTCCCCTTTTCATAATGAATACAACAAACTAAATGTACTTCCTATTTGTAGAAAAGAATCTTATAGCTACTACATATATACTTTTTGTTTACAAAAAAAAAAATTTAATTAGAACCCACTAAAGTACTTCTTGTTTAATTTCAAATCGCCAGACAGCTGTCTGCTAAATTTTCCTCCTGATCTGCCCGTGCTGGGGTGTGCAAACACCTACATTTAATGACTAAGAAAAACAGTCCTTCTGTGATTCACTGTGGAGGGGGAGGCAGGGAAGAGGATGAAAAAGAAACAAGTCTAAATGCCACTGATGATGAGAGATAACTAATACAGAGAGTATTAGTACTGGAGACAGTCCCTGAAATAAGGCAGGAAGACTCAAGAAACAGGCAAAGACTTAAGCTCCACATGGGGCACCTGTGCAGATGCACTGACTGCATCACAAGGCACTCAATAAGCTACTGCCACTGTCCCACACAGCCCCTACCTTGAGTATTGAGGGAACTGGGAACAGCTTTATGCACCCTCCCACAGCATGCCGGGACCAAGCCAGTGTGAAGTTGGCCATTTATCTCCCATTATATTTTCCAGATAGACTGGCCTCAGAGGGAAAAAGCCTTTAACACTTCCTTTTCTGTCAGCTCCAGTTAACCATACTGCAAGTGAGAGTTGGTTTCTACCCCAAGGAAAGAAATGATAGTCCCTTCCAAATCCAGAAGAATCCCACTGCTGTGGAAGAGCCAATTACAAAACTGAAAAATTAAGAGTAACCTACTTATACCAGTCAGGTCATCTTCCCTTCTTGTATCACAGAGTTCACAGTACTTGGTGTTTCCTAATCAGCTGAAGTAAATAAACACACAGTATCCTGAATTGTGCACATGTTATCCAGCCACTCTGGTTAGGATTTCACCAGCTTGCCAAATGTCATATTCAAATTTAACAAGCTCTGCTGCAGCAGCTCTTCTCACACCTGTAGCTAGTAAACTTCTGGCCAGAAACTATCAGCCAACACACCTTTTCTTATTTTATGTACACTGTCAGCAACCTTTTAATTTCTGACAATGCTGCTCTATAAGAAAAACAGTTCTTGCTTACTTCACCAATAATATTTTACTTCCATGGTAGACAACACGAGCTAGGCCCTGGAAACTTTGGCCTCGCCCATATACTTAAGTTCCTGACTGCTGTTTCATTTCAAATCTGTCTGTGTAGAGATTTGTAGATCTTATGCTTTTCTAGGATAGGCTGAAACCTTAATGCTGAACCTTCACACTAGACCCTTGATCCTCTGCTCAAAGGAATCAAAACTTGCCTGCTTGTCCACGTCCCAAATGACAGCATGAAACATCATTGCTTGAAATACACTCTTCCATCACTAAAGCCTAGCTTCTCCATAAAACTCAGCAGTTATAGCACGTTTTTCAAAAGTACCTTCCAGGTAAAAATTAACAAAATTCACAGAGCTGTTATGCTGTCTGGTAAAGAAGAGCTGAAACTATTTATATCATTGCTATTGTAGGTAAATACATCTTCTAGGTCCACTCTCCAAACAGTTTGGCATCAGTTTTGTTGCCAGTTATTTTGTTCTCACCACTTCAATCCTCTGCATCCAATGCAGAGCTCCACATCACAATTTGGATGGCTGCATATTGTACACTTCTCCCTGCCTGTCAGCTACTCATTAAAATAAGGCTACTGAAATTTGGGGTCAGACAACACACGGAAGAAAGACTGACCAAGTAGTTTTCAACCTTTACTGTACAAAATCTTAATATGGGTATGCACAAAACACACAGCAAGGAAATAATCATTTCTCTGGTCTCTCTCCCAAAATAGGTCTTGGTTGCACACAGAATATAAGTAGATTGAGGTTTTAAAGACCTTATTATGTTAAGGAGCAATCCAAATCTAATTTTGAGACTGCTATTCTCTTCAATCTCCCTATTCATGCAAAGGCACAAGCCATTAAAAATAAATTTCTTCTTATGTGAATCCCAGTGGCATAAGCAAACACTTGCAGAAAGAGAAGTTTAGTAACATTATAAAAGTAATTAGTTAAAAGAATTCTCACTCCCCACCACCATTTGCCCAACTCTCCCAAAAAAACCCCTGCACTAGCACACACCTCTTTTAAAACTCCATCAGTAGAGCAATGATTTTCAGATTCAAAAATAGCCCTAATAGATTTTCCTACCTGAAGGCACAGGATTAAAAAAAGAAAAACCACCAAAAACCCAACTACAAAAACACAACAAATAACCCAAAACACAACCACTATCACAAATAAACTTGGAAATTAATTTCATTTCAGTAACTGCAACAAGCTCTGTCCAGCTGAAAAGCACACAAACTTCTGAATCCCTTTTCCAGTTAATCCAAAGCAACACATTCCTTACAAAACAGGGAGCTTGAGGAGCTTCTATGCAGGAAGCTCCTCAAACTTTGCTCTACAGCCTTTGCTTTTCTGTCACAAATAAACCAGCAAGAATAATAGAATTTTGCAGTTTAGCTTCTTCTTAAGTCTAACAATACCAGCCAAATCAGCATTTATAACAAGAAGGAGCTGGAGCAGGACAAAAAGAGCACTATATGAATCCCATATGACAAGGGAACTTTGGACCATTGTTAGTAGAAGCAGAATGGCCACTTCAATATTGAAGGTGAGTTTCAACAGGTTGATTTTGCTTGTCATTTTAAGATACCTTCACTGCAATAACATTCTAAGGAAAAGAAATACCAAAATGTGAGCATACAGTCAGCAACAAGGGGGGAAGATGTCATGTAGACCAATGGTAGGGACTTGTATGGAAATCTTTGTCTCTCCAGGTTTTTATCCTGCAGAGATAAGTCAGCTAAGTTGTACTACCAAATATAAATCCAACTTACTGTAATCCTCCCAAGGTTAAAACCTTGGAGAACTCCCAGGCACTTTTGCTCAGAGAAGCTAGTGTAGATTTCCAGGAACTCTTCCTGTACAAAGCCGGTCAGGCCTGCCTGAGGAAGGAGTAGCAGACACAATTTAGGAACCTCCAGCACTAACGGGAAAATTACAACCACAAAGAAACAGAGAGACATACAGGGTACACATACATACACCAAAACAGTCCTCAAAGCTAATCACAGAGGAAAAGGTGTAAGAACAGCACCTACTGTGTTTACTTACAGAAGTATAATCAAAAAGGCAAAGCACTAAGTCTGTGCCCCTAGAAGGTGCATTCTATCCTATGCCTGTTTTGATAATTAATAGTATCACTGAGGAAAAGTAACAACCCATGTGATGCAGCGCCCTGTAAATGAATCAAGTCTGCCCAAGAAAGGGAGGACACAAACACTTTTCATGCATTTTCCTCAATCCACTGCTCTCAAACCACCTATGAAGGCATTATCCAAAATCAGGGGATACTGCTTCTGATGCAGGAACAGATGGCTACACCACGTGCAATTATTCCTTTTCTCCAGTCCACCAAACCAGTCCCACAGAAACACATCCATCCTGGTTCATTAACGGGATGTCTTCACTCCCAAAAGGATATGGAAGACACACATCACTTCTGCATGGCTACAGCCTCAACACAGTTTATGACACCAAAACACTCATTTTAGAAGCTTGGAGGTAGAAGGGCAGTTGAGAGCAATGCATTGTTTGCTGCTTGGTGACTCACTACCATCCCAAATCACTTCTTTTCGGCCCGGAAACGCGACTGAGATGAAAATACACTTTACGTACTCCGAAGCCCTGTTCCCTCCCTGGCGGCAGCGATTTCTTCAGATATGTTGAGAGCGTTCAAGAGGAAGGGCTAACAGAGTTAAATGTCACCCTCACCGCCTGGGAAGGGCAGCAGCTCCGTGGGAAAACCACGGCAATGTGCCACCTCTCAATCGCCTTCTGTCCCTGCCAGCTGTGCCGCCCCAGCCGAGCCAGGGCTGCCCGTCCGTCCCCGCGGTCCCGCTCAGCCGCTCGCAGGAGTCGGGCAGTGGGAATGGAGGGAGAACAGGCTCGTTTCGTCCTGAACAACCGAGACAAGAGCGAACCCCTCGCTTGCCGGGCGCTGCGGCGTGGCACGAAGGGCGCCGAGGCCAGCACGGCACCGAGGCCAACACGGCACCGCTGCCCGCTCTGCTTCAGCCCCAGCCCGGTCGCAGCGAGGGGCGGCGGCTTCCCCTCCTCGTCACCCCCCGCTGCCGCCGCTGCCGCGTTTGAAAGGGCCGCCGGCGCGGCAATGGCGGACTCGCCCGCCCGGCGCGCCGCGGGGCGGAGCAGGAAGCGGCGCCCGCGCCGCGCTGCAGGAAGCGCGGCTGGGCCGGAGCGGGGCCGCCACCACCCCCTGCACCGATTCCTGCACCGCCTCTTGCACCGCCTCTTGCACCGCCTCTTGCACCGCCCCCGGTGTCCCCCTCGCTGCCCCTCAGGCCGCCCCTCGCACCGCCCCTCAGGCCGCCCCTCACGCCGCCTAGCCGCGGGAGCTGTCAGGGAGGACGGGCTGAGGGCCCGCGACCCCCAGGCTGCCCCAGGGCGAGAGCATCAGCCGCCTTTCACTTAAACCAAGGGAAAAGGGCGGCGATGCAGAGGTGACCCGGTTCGGTTCTGGGTGAATGGGAGTTCGAAGGGTGTTTAGCCAAGGAGCGGGGTTTTTTCACGAGGGTCTTGGAAAGCAGAAGTCGTCGTTGTGTTAAGCTGAGATACTGCAGAAGGCGCAGAAATAAATACACGCCCTTTCAGCCCCCGGAGTAGATAGGAATATGTAGATCCCAATGTACATAGGATGCTCGTGTTCTTTACCCATGCACGCTAAAATTTGTTTTTCCTTAAAAGCATTTGCACCCTAGTGCTGGAAAAAGTATACAAGGGTTAGGTGCCTGCCTTAAAATTCCATCTGAAGTTATGTTTCCCTGCAGTCTCTACCTATTGCTTTATCATCCATGTCTTCTAAGTTAGTGCTCAGCAAGGATCCTGTGAAGTCCCTATCTCGTGCAAAAAATGTGCATGGGTGATGGCTTCTGGAGCCATCACCGGAAGCATGGAGCAAGCACACTGCTACATTAAAGCCGCCTTTCAAGCTTCCATTACCCTAAAAGGTCTTCTGCTTTGTATCATAAATATTTGTAACTTGTGGTCATAACTACAAGCCAGCTGTCCTCCAGCCTTGGAACAGCAACATCTTAAATGTAACTAAGGTGCTATAAACTTAAATAATTCATAATTTTTCATCTTGACTTTATAATAAATGTGTGTTTAACAGTCTGGAATGGTTTTAAACACAATAATGTTCAATGCAGTGTGACTGCTCTCTTTGCATGGAGTTTACCTGACCTCTTTAGCTTTCAGAGGCCAGGAGAGAGACTTATGCACATACTTGTCTTTATACATGGGTGCACCTCTGGTGCCAAATCTTCAGCTGATATAAACTGTCACAGCTCTGTTGATTTAAATAGGGCTTGTGATTTACACAAGTTGAGGAGCTGACTCACAACCTTCAATAGGACTGTTCACATATTTAGAGGTAATCAAGTGTCCAAGTGTTTGCAGGCTCAGAGCTGATTCACCTGGAGTTTTGTACTAGTAAGAGCTGAGCAAAGGGTAGTTTAATGTAATACTAGAGAGCATGAAATCATGTTAGATCATCAGGTTTTTAGATGAAACATTGTAATTTATAATAGAAAGGGTTCTGATTCTTTTCATTTCAGATCAGATTCTACTCTTATGCCAAAACAACTTTTAAGTAAGTATAGGAACTCAGTGCACTATATAACTAAGGACAAAAGATTGTGACTATAAATATCTTAAAAGTCATATTTAAAGACTTGGTCTGATTAAATTTTGTAAGACTTAGAGTGCAACCTTGTGCAGAATATAAAAATACTGCCTGTATCATCTGACTCCTTTGATGCACTGCATTAAAATTCCAGTGTCTAAGTACATATCATGCAGTCAACTTTACTTCTCTTCTATTAATAGTTGGAAATTAGGTCACTGTTCTTGTAAGGATAGGCTAAGCCTGTACAACTGATTTAAAAGAAATTACCTATATATAAATGTTTGGGTTTCTTGCTCATGTTCACCTACAGTGACACCATTCCTTATCTATAATCAGTAATTTTTCTGTCTGTTCTGGCATACATATCCTATGCTGGCAGGTTTTTGTAGATTTGTTTATAGTGACCCTTGCTGCAAAAGATTAAGACTGACATTTCTCTAAGCCTTTAAAAAGACATTTACCCAATTATTTCAGAGTTCAGCACAAAAAAACCAACCAGATGTAAATCCAAGTATATAACATTTGAAACTCCCTAATCTGGATAATTTTCAGTAAAATAGTTGAATCATACAACTGCTTTTCCTCTCTCACATGCATAGGATTTACTTTCTAATGCAACACAGTATAGTTGCAAAGTAAAGTAGCTTCTCATTTCCTAGAGGTAAGGCTTGTTCTTTGTGTTATTGTTCTTTGATAAGGGCTAGACTTGACACCAATAAATCAATGTCATAACTGCTATGTGTAAATGTTTTCAGAGTTTCACTCAGGAAAGCACATGCTTATGTTTATCTCTGTTCAGGATAGCAAACTACTAAAAAAGCAGATTAAAGCATAGGACTAAGTTTAAACACAGATTACCCCTCTTGTTTCAGAAGGACTTAAGTGTCAGCCTATTCCAGTATTGCCCTCAATAAAATGTTTTCTCGAGCTTGGCTTTAAAAGCTTCAGCAAGGGGTATGTGTAGGGGTCTGTCTACAAGAAAAAGACCCATATGTGCTCTGTGCTGAGCAAAAGGTGTGCAGCCCTAGCTAGTGGAGCATTTAACCTCAAAACTAACAGGCCCTGATAACAGATTTGCAGCTTCAAGCTGCTCCAGCTTCCTAGCACTCTGCAAGCTGCACAAAATAATCATCTCCTTGCTTGCAAAAGACACTTAAGGTATAGATATGGTAAAACCTCACATCCATTTCCATTAATGTAAATGTTATTGTACAAATATATGTGCCTAATATGTTTTTTTAAAGCTGTGTTTAAAGAGTATTATTTAGGCTGCAAAACTTAGCAAAAAACCATGCTTAGAGCTCCCTGTGTAATCTTTATACCGCCCTTTGTGCAAGTATTTACTGATGAATGGAGACATCCCACAGAAAACTGTGAGACCAATGTAGTAAAATAACCACAAGGAGGCAGAATAAAAATCTGATGTCTCTTTCCAAATTGAGTCCTTCCTATTGCATTCTCATCAGCATTCTCGTATTACTGAGTGCAATTTTCTACATTTGATAGACAGGTACAAGTTAGATTGAGTTGTCCCATATCCTATATTACCAGTGAGGATTGAAACTTGTGTCTTTTCACCAGTAGCCACAGTTCAACATAAAACCAGGCAAACTCGTCATTTTAATGTAGGGTGGTGGATTATGGGTCCTGACAGTTGTTGGGGGAAGAAACTCAGCATAACTGCATTATTCTCTTTTTTCTGGGACTTGGAAAATTGATGCTGCCTGAAATGTCAAGGAAAGGAGATGAACCAGTGGGGCAATCTGCTGGGTCTCACTCTCTCCTCCTCGAGAAGTGGAGAAAATCCAGTACTTCACAGTGTTCCCAAAAATTTGCCATTGGGGGCAGATGCTGGATTATTTATGCTGTGAGAGTGCAGTCTAGTTCTTGGCCATGTTGCAGTAACATGCTGAGGGTCATATGGTCTGTACTCAGGTTTCATACAGAATGTAATCCATACTTCTGTTTCCTACCTCAGTGCTTTGGCAGCTTGTGAGTTAGCTGCTTCTGCAGCCTTTACTGCTGCTTTGGTGGTGGTGGTGTGAGCTGAACCATGAGATCCTCATGTGTTTTTATCATCTTGGCAGGCTGAAAGTTTCCTTGGGAGTGAGACTGGGAGAAGAGAGTCAGTGATTTTTAGCAGTCCATTTCTCAACAAAAAGTGACAACATGTAATGACATAAAGGTATGTGTACATAGAGGAGGCTAGAGAGGCAGGAGAACTCTGCCAGTGCACTTAGCTTGTCAGACACCGGAAGCCCCAGTCCAGAAGCAAGATAACTACCTGAACCTAAGCTAATGAGCACTGCTGAGAGGCAGGGTATGTTATTTTGGGCATGGTGCCACATTAACATGACTCTATATCTTCCAGACAGAAGCTTGCAATGTCTGGGCAGCTCAGAGTGTGAGCAGAGTTTGCTTGTGTCTGTTTGCACCTGTCTGCATGGCCTTGCAGAAGAAAAAGCAGCAATTTCCCAATTAATTAGCAAAGACTTTCTGCAAACCATACAGATATAAGAGTATCTGCAAACAAAACAAACATCTTTGCTTCAACAGCTCCTCAATTCCTTTTTTCTACCAGGCTCAGAAGAAAGGATGATATTGTCAGAGTGTGTTTGAAGAGTTTCTGAATTGCTCCAGAAAGTCCTGGTGCTTATTTTCACAGCCTTATTGTTTCCCTGTTGTGAAGGACAAAGGCACAGACAAATTACATACCTTGTGCAAACAGAGAGAGAACTGTACTAGCACCTTCAAAATCCATTGGTATTCTATAGATGAACAGCTAAATATCCAGCTGCAGGAAGGAAGATAGCGTAGTCCTTTTTCCTACTGATCCAGCAACCCTTTTGCAGAATTACTCCTGAAGTTCTGTTACATGCCCATATGTCCAGTATACATACATAAGAGAATGAAAAGAGAATTAAGTCTTGGAAGGAAGCTAATGGGTGCAAAGGATGTTTTGACTGAAGTGTAGACTACTGTTCCTGGGTTACTGCATACATTCTTTCAAAGAGAACGTCTCTTCAGAATCAAAAACAAACGTGGTTTAGGGACTGGCAGATGGAATTCTACTTCTGTAGAGATCACTTCTGATTTCTGTAAATAAGCATGATCAGGATGATAGTAAATGTCTTCTAAGCTGCAAGAGTTTTCAGGAAGAAGTCACATTTGGGAGAATCAGAAGTAAAATCCTTCATTCAAACTTAGACCATTGAACTATCAAAACCCATTATTCCAGTACTATTATCTATATAAAAGGATTGATCCACTTACTTATATTTTACCCCATATATATATATATATATATATATATATATATATATATATGTGTGTGTGTGTGTGTGTGTGTGTGTGTGTGTGTGTGTGTGTGTGTGTGTGTGTATCAGTTTTCTTTGTGTGGAACTAGGATACCATAAAGGCAAATCAGAGTTTCTCTGCTGACTCTGCAGAAGCACACAGGTCAAGACCTTCAATAGTCACAAGGCCACATGTCTTGTAACAGA